ATATCTGACAGCTCACACAATCACAAAAGCCAAAGGCAATGGTAAGAATAAAAATCTTTAGCCTGGGGGCTGAGAAGGTGGCTCAGTGGTAGAGCGCTTGCCTTGCATGCCTGAAGCCCTGGGTTCGATTCCTCAGCACCACATAAGCAAAAAGACGGAAGTGGCGCTGTGGCTCAAGTGGTAGAATGCTAGCCTTGAGCAAAAGAGGCTCAGGGACAGCGCCCAGGCCCTGAGTTCAAGCCCCAGGACTGGCAAAAAAAAAAAAAAAGTATATGAAATAGGCTCCAGATTCCAAATGAAAGTTAAGACCCCCACTGCCCACATGCTGCTAAAAAATAAACAATAAAAATCACTAACTGAAAGTAGGTGACTTGGCATGTAATTTCAGTCTGTGGTACATCTTTTTGCTTGAGGTTTTATGTTTTTATGTTTATTTTTGTACATTAGTTGAGGGCATATTCAACATCACACACCATCTTAAGAAACCAGTAGCAGGGCTGGGAAGGTGGCTCAGTGGTAGAGTGCTTGCCTTGCATGCATGAGACCTTGGGTTTGATTCCTCAGCACCACATAACAGAAAAAGCCCGAAGTGGCATTGAGGCTCAAGTGGTAGAGGGCTAGCCTTGAGCTGAAGAGCTGAGGGACAGCACCCAGGCCCAGAGTTCAGGCCAAGACTGACCAAAAAAAAAGAAAGAAAGAAAAAAGAAACCAGTAGCAAAAGACACTTTCTGTCACCCCTCTCTCTTCCATATCCCTTTTTCAGCTATAGTATGTGACAACTCATTTCCTGCAAACTTCACTCTAATTATTGAAGACATATTTAGTACTGTTCTAAACCAAAGATCACTGGTTGTAGTCATCCTTCTATGTTGATAGCAATTTTAAGTACCCAATTCCTATCAAATATTACTCATGTAAACCCTGGTAGTTGCAGGAATAGTTTTTCAAAATCCATATGGCTAGTTACATGAGAGAAAGAGGGTTAAAATCGCTGATAGGAAATTTAAGAGATTCATATTTTATTAGAACTTACCAATCAATAACTAGTTCACTGCAGTTCACAAATGCTTAGATATTTTGAGAAACTATGTATGGTTCCTATATATTTTTCTCATAGTCAAATTCTAAATGTCCTTGCTTGTATAACCACAAGGATATTGCAGTAACTTAAAATCCATTTCAACCTCCACAAGATATTATTACAGAGAGGGCATTAAATTCTTCTGTGTACTGAAAAGGTTCTGTCCAATAACTATGCCAGTAGCCTCACAAAGAGCCACTGCATTTTCCTTATACACACAGTTTATACAGGGTTGCTGTTTTCATTTTTTTCTTTAAATAGTCCCCTAATCTATATGGAAATCTTCCTACAATTTGGGATTGAAGAAAACTTTTGATTTAATCCCTAAATTCCCTAAGTAGTCTTTCTATCTACAAATTAAACCCTATACTAGGAGAAGCTGGTCAAAGTTAAGTATCTTTGTAGAGAAGTTCCAAGGTTCCAATTTAAGTGACCTCCTAACAATTCAAAAGAAATATGTAAAATACCTTATTTCACCCTGTTTATAGTGATTTAATCTCTGAACTCTAGTACAATCACTCTAATGATAGAGTCCTATTTAAAAGTCACTACAAGGGCTGGGAAGGTGGCTCAGTGGTAGAGCGCTTGCCTTGCATGCTTGAGGCCCTGGGTTCGATTCCTCAGCACCACATAAGCAAAAAAAAGCTGGAAGTGGTGCTGTGGCTCAAGTGGTAGAGCACTAGCCTTGAGCTGAAGAGCTGAGGGGCAGCGCCCAGGCTCAGAGTTCAGGCCCACGACCGGACCCAAAATAAAAAATAAAAAATAAATAAAAGTCACTACAGAAGCAATGATTCCTAAGTAATAAATGAGCAGCATTTCTTAACTGAATGAGCTTGCAATTTTAGGCAGCAATTATTCCATTCAAACTTTTTTTTTTTTGGCCTGAGGCTTGAACTCTGGGCCTGAGCACTGTCTCTGAGCTTCTTTTTGCTCAAGGCAAGTTAGTATTTTATCACTAACATTACAACACCACTTCAGGCTTTTTCTGTGATTAATCAGAGCTAAGAGTTTCACAGGCTTTTCTGCCTGAGCTGGCTTCAAATGTCAACCCTCAGATCTTTCTTCATGAAGCTACACAAGTTCTATCATCCTCCTAGAGTACTCAGAGGAACTTGGGCTCAAGTAAGAGTGCTAGCAAAAATATCTCAGGGACAGCATCCAGGCCCCAAGTTCAAGCCCCAGGTTAGGAACCAAAAGGAAAAAGGGAAAAAAAAAAAAAAAAACGCTTTAGGGCAAGGAATATAGCTTGGTGGTAGAGTGCTTGCCTAGCATGCAATTCGTCAGTACCACATAAACAGAAAAGGTCAAAAGCGGTACCTTGGCTTAAGTGGTAGAGTGGTAGCCTTGAGCAAAAAGAAGCTCAGGGATAGTGCCCAGGCCCTGAGTTCAAACCCCAGGACTGGCTAAAAAAAAAAAAAAAAAAGTTAGTCTTTAACTCCCATTTCTTGTCTGGGGAACAGAAAATCTCTTTTTCTTTCTCACTCTCCTCTCACTTCTCTATCCTCTGTCCTCTCTTTTCTTTCTTCTCTGTTCTTTCCTCTTTTCTTTCTCCTCTCTCCTCTCTTCCCTTTTTTTAAATTTGTTTTTATCATTCATGGGTCTCAAACTCAAGGCCTGGTCTCCTTTGCTCAAGGCTAGAGGTCTACCACTTTGAGCCACAGCCCCACTTCCATCTCTTCTTGAATTCTCCTCCTCTCTCCTCTTTTCTCTTTCTCTCCCTCTTTCCATCCCTCCTCAACTATTATAGTAAACCCTCAATAAAAAAAAAGGTAGTAAATAAGCTTTGAGAAAAACTATGTAACATTTCCATTATATCCAATAGCAGCCAGAAAGCTAGCACCTGTTCTGAACTTCCTTAGTTGATCCATTTATTTTATTAAAGCAAGAATCTCAAAAAGCAGTGAGTTAATCCTCATGCTAGAAAATTATTCTACATTTGAAATAAAGTACTTCATAACTGTAGGACTCTGTTTGAAAATTAAAGCTGGCTTTTTTCTTTTTTGTACATACTGGGCTTGAACTCAGGACCTACACACTGTCCCTGGACTTTTTCTGCTTGAGGCTAGCACTCTACCACTTGAACCGCAGCTCTGCTCTGACTTTTTGGTGATTAATTGGAGATAAGAGTCTTTCTGCCCAGGCTGGCTTTGAAATGAGAGCCTCAGATCTCTGGATCCTGAGTAGCTAGGATTAAAGGTGTAAGCCACAGAGGCCTAGCTGGCTACATTCATTTTTATAACTCAGCAGTTTACACATCTCATTACCTCATTACTTTTAACTATGTTTATTCAAGCAAAATTCTTTTTTTGCTGTTGTTCTTGTTGTTGTTGTTGGTGGTGGTGGTGGTTATGGGGTTTGAACTCTGGGCCTGAATGCTGTCCCTCAGCTCTTCAGCTCAAGTACTCTACCACTTGAGCCACTGTGCCACTTCTGGTTTTCTGGTGGTTTATTGGAGATAAGAGTCTCACATATTTTCCTTCCCAGGCTGGCTTTGACTCACAATCCTCAAATCTCAGCCTCCTGAGTAGCTAGGATTACAGGCATGAGCCACTGGCACCCGGAAAAACTCATCTTTAATTACTTTTTAAAGCCAAAATTACCTTTTCTGTTTATTTGCCTCTTATCATTCCTGTCTATGACCCTCATCATATTTCTTTATATACTTGTCCTGGCACCACACACATTAGAATTTTGCCAACAAGAAGATAGTGGCATATTTTCTTGAAAAAAGCAGGAGCCTTTTCTCAAGCAGTAACTTCCAAACAAACACAGATCCTAGCTCTCACAGGCTTTTACAGATGGTAAAAGTTTAAATTGTTGGGCTGTAGACTGGACTTCTACTTACAATGAAATTGAGGAAGAGATATCTTCACAATTTTCTTGATCTGAATCAACTGCTCAATATCTCATTCAAGTCTCAGGACTATTGTCCTGCTTTGTTTTAATATCGTCACAGGCAGCAGCTAACCGTTATCCAGTACATACAATGTAGAAAGTGTTTTAAGTCATCTCATTTTATCCTCTGAGGTAGACACTCATCTCAACTGTTATCAATGCCATTTTATAAATGACTCAACTGTATGTTCCAAAGACAGGTAACTGGCCCAATATCTGACAGCTCACACAATCACAAAAGCCAAAGGCAATGGTAAGAATAAAAATCTTTAGCCTGGCTTGTTAGTGAAGCCAGGTAACATAACAACAGACGATTTTATATCTAAAAGATCCTAAAGCTCCCACTCCCCAGTTCCGAGAGCTAATCAATAATAAAGGAAATAATAATAATAATGGAAACAACCTTCTATATTCATGGATCAGCAGAATTAATATAGTAAAATGGCCATACTGCCAAAGGAGACCTACAAATTCAGTATATCAAAATCTCAATGCCATTTATTCATATAGAACCACAAAAAGCCCTGAATAGCCAAAGCACATGTAAGCACAAAAAGCTATGCTGGACATATCACAGTTCCAGATCTCAAACTTTGCTACAAAGCTATAATAACAAAAACAGCTAAGTATTGGCACAAAA